ACATAAACTCCAGCAACTGTTCCTGCAAGTTAAATTATGAAAAATCACACAATTATTAGATACGATGTACAATAAAAAATCTCCCATATTATTATGAATGCAGATGGAACTCAACCCAATATGCACCTTCTTTACACATTCTCTTCAACTGCAGAAGTAAAAATTCCATTAGATGCATACTAAACCAGTGTTTCGTTTACTTGCAACAGATAATAATAAAAACTTATAAAGCTAGAAATGAGAAGTCCCTAGGCCATTTTTCTAGTATCGCATCTGACAGTTGGCTCTTATCTTAAAGCATATTTGAGAAGGCTACAGGAATGGATTGATCAGATGAAATAGACATTTCGATGCAAAATTTGTTAAGAGTGCATAATATTAGTTCATCCTTGGTAATATATGCTGAAAGCAATGTGTTAATATAAGGTAATTTGTTAAAAGTTTGGTATTTTTCCTTTAACCTTACGAATTTGAGGGATAATCTTACGAAACGCTCCCAGAAATATAGACAAGCGTCAGAGCTATTGTATGATGATTAGCCATAATCGTTCTCGTGTCATCTAATGAAAGTCTTTTTCATGTTTGGCTAAGCTTAAATAACTTTTTTATTTCCAAACACATATATGGATATATTACTTCTTTTTTTATTTTTAAATAATAAAAGCTACTTGAAAGTAATTCTTTCTTTACAATCAAATTAAGTATCTTATTTCAAAATTGATCAATAAAAAATTGTTTACTTAAAACTAACTTGTTTTTTTGAACTTTAAAGCTTAGCCAACATGCTCTAATCACTTTACACTATTACAAAAGCAAGCAGTAGTGTGATTATTCACTTTTAGAACTCTCTCAACAAGGACATAATCATATGGAATGAACAGATTTCACACGATAAATTTCTCACTGAATGCCCCAAGTTGTGGCGTGAAACACTCCCTGTAAAATTAATGTAAAATTAAAGCAACAATTATGTAAAAAAGAACCACAAAACACAATTTAAAAAAATTCTATATAAATAAATCGATATTTATCTAGAGATGCTATAAATTCTCCATTACTTAATTTCCCCTTCCAGAAATATTTCCTTTTCAAGGTGATGCTAGGAGTTATCTTGATGCTATTAATCCTTTAATTTAGCCATATATTTCTTCCTTCACTTTCCGACATTAGATGTCCTAACCTGATTAACAAGACATATGCATATATACTTACGCACAAGAAGTTATTTTATCCAGAATTGGAATTTGCAGTCCCCATAACAATTTCTCATTTAAAACCAAGATTAGCATTATACAGCTACCCAAGTATTTATCTAGAGACTAAATCTTAATTTTCATCAATTGGTATCCAAGTATTTAACGCACTGTATTCAAGCCCAAAATTAATCCTAATACTGTTTACATTATCCAATAATCAACAATTGGAGTTTGATAACCTGAGCGACTACCAATAAGCAGGTCGGCGTGATGCCTTTCCAAGGACATAATCTGACGGTAGTGTGCACAAGATTTCAAAATTTCATCCTAAAAGCCATGCTAAACAAGCTTATTTTGTTGATCAAATTTTTTCAACAATCAAAATTAAATATTCATAATTAATTGGGGAAAGATTTCAACAACTTGGTGGGAGAAAAATAAAAATGGGAAACCTCGTTTGACAACGGAATATGCTTCCTCCGTAGCTACTTTTGCTGCAGCCACCTGAATCAGCAAACGAAAAAGGGAAACCAATTAATAACCAAATTTCAATAAAATATTCTGATACCCAAAGAAAATTAAATAAAAATCATTCACTTCAATTCAATCCAATCAAATCTAATCCAATACAACAAAGAGAGCAAGAGAATTTACAGTGCCAATCTTCAAAAAACCATCAACGGTGAGATTGAGAAAGGGATTTCCCAAATCGACAATGATGTCCAACTTCGGAGAGTCGAACGACCCTGATAATATCCTTTGAGGCATCTCCTCTATGAAATTCTTATTAACTGTATCTTGGGTTCTTCACTAATTACTGTGAGTGTGTATCAAGATTTGTTTGTATCTCTAAAATCTTGAAGGATGGCATCCACGTAGAGGATTGATTGTGGTTGTTTCGGGAACACAGCACGGAGACACGGTGCGTGTCTCCATGCGCGATGGAGACACATGCCGTGTCTCCGTGAAAACCCCCCATCCTCGCAACAGTGTCGCTGCTACGTCTGGCGTCTCCATTGATTTCGTGGCGGTCGAAACTCAAAACACAGACACGAGGGTGAATTTTAGCTTCTGGAGAGAGTAGAAGACATGGTTTCTCGTGTCAAGAGTGGGAAATGAAAGGAAAAACCGGAACATCCAAGACAAGAGAGGATTAACAGAGAGAAAATAATAAAAACCTTCGGCGGAATCAACTCGGGCGTCAGCTTTTGTTGACGGAGGAAGGTGAAAGGCAGGCGGTGATTTGAGTATAATCCTTATGGAATCTTATGGGTTATTGGAGAAGGGTGGGAAACTATTGCGGCCGGGAATCAAGATGAAGAAGGTCGTAGTTGTCTGGATTTCGCAAACGATTGGAGAGGGCAAAGGAATTAGGACAAGGGAAGGAGATTCAAACGGTTCCCGATAAGGTGAGAAGAAGGCGGTGGGCAACATGATTTTTTTAGGAAAAACGACGTCGTTCTGGGAAGGATGGCCAGAGCTCGACACTTGGCAGAAAGAACTGCCTCTTTTATGTAGATGGGATACTATGAGAGGATCAAAATACGTTGTGTGGGTAAACCTCATTTTTGTAATATTCCAAACCTTAAAAACTTTTCAGTTTCATTATGTGTTTTCAATGGAACTTTAACTTTACCAGTTTATTGTGTTAAGTCGATTGAGTGTGTTATTAATTATATAATTTTCTTGGTAAAAGTATTGTTGTAGAGTTAAAATGTAGTGTTCAATGTGTTGGGAAATTCGACGACTTCCACTTGAGGGATCGGAGAATAAATCAACGAACTAAAACTAGAAAATTGAAGATTATCAATGAAAGCAACGAACCAAACACCAAACCAGGAAATAGATTTGAAGACAAATACCGATGGCTTGAACACGATATCGTTGTCCTCAAACTATATTTGCCCCTTCTCGAATTGAAATAATGCTTGTAGGGATTAAGACAAATGATTTGCAGGATTAAACAAGCTTTGTAGAATGATTTTTTGTTCTTGAATATGGCTATGGTTATTATATGTTTTCAACAACATTATAATGATCACAAACCACGTATATACAGGCAAGAAACATGGTCATACGAAGTGGTACCAAAAACCCTCCAAAAGCCACCAAAAATTTGAACAAACGATCACTAACGGCTCTTTTGACCGTCTACGTGGTCGCATAGTCAACACTATGCGACCGCATAGTTCTCTTCACGGCAGGAATTTTAATACTTGTTTTGGCCTATGCGACCGCAGCCGACCGCATCGGCCAAAATTTGGCCTCCAATATTGATTTTCATTCCGCATTATTCCACAATTGTTTTTATTCAATTTTGAACAATATTTTCAACACAATTATTATTACAACTATAATGTAGAAAACAAAACTCTCAAAGTGTAAAAATCGAACCGACTGACTTCAAATCTTCTTCAACCTCACCACCAATGTCTCTTGTGGTGTTGAGCTCAAATTTGTGCCACATCGGATCATGCACTATCGTCTATAGAAATGATGATGGATATATACCAAGAGAACCGCTGGAGGCAATCAAGAATTTCACCGGAGAAATGAACTCTCTCACTTATTATTGCATCTTTATATATCACTCTCAAAAGTTTTCAATTCTCAAGGCATGTCATGCTTCACTCCGTGTTTGTCATTTTAAATTAGTTTGTTTTTTCAAAGTAAAAACAGAGTGGTTGGCTTTTTTCATTGTCCTATTTAAAAATTGAATGGTGAAATTTTGCCACTATAGAGACGATTGTTTAAGTTCATAAAAGAATACTTTCAACTCGCACACTTTGTCCATTACATTTGACGTTAATCCAAACATAGATCCCTATTCAATTCTTCATTAAGAAAACAATTTTCACTTTGCCTAAGGTGAATAGCTCAAGTCTCATTCTTGTAAACATTGAAAATGTGTCGCTATAAATCATTATCTTTTTAATTGATTGCACCCTACGAGTTTTGTTCCTTCAAAAATCAAAACAGATAAACTTTCACAGATTATTTTCTCGACCAAATCAATTTCTAATTTAATAGCTCAACAGAGTTGACCATTTTTTATAAGACAGTGAGCATGCGTGGGATCAAAAACATTAACACTTTCAACATTTCTGTATATTGACATCCTTTTCATTATAAAAAGAGATGAACTTATTACAAGCAGGATAAAAGATACAAGATAAAGTTCGAGAAACGTAACGTATAGAATCTCAGGACCTTCTTACGTGTTAGAAACTTTTCACCATTTAGCGAGGAGGGTTGATCGCATGTAACAGGCAGCTGTCCACACTATATTCTTCCGAGAACTCCCCAATAACAAACTCAGGATTTATCGACAATTGATATAGGTCAGAGTCCTCTGTTCTTAACGACAAACCCAAATTTTCTTGAGGAATTTCCTTTTTTTTTTATCGGATTGAGGAATTCCTTTTTGAATCCATGTTTGAACATTATGCTTTCTCAACCATTCTAACTCCATCGCCACTTCTTTCATTGTTGGCCTTTCTACCCCATTTAACTTGAGGCATCTTTTAACAAGCTCAGCCACCGCATGAAGTTGCTCTAAACTCCCTTCCCTCAGAACTCTTGGGTCAAGAATTTTGAATAGATGATTATCCTTCAAGGATACAATGAAATATGTAGCCAGGTTACTTACTTCTTCAGGTTTTTCACCGGAAAGGGGTTTTTTTAGTGTCATTAGCTCCGCTAGAACTACCCCGAAACTATAAACATCACTTTTATCTGTCAACTGGCTTGTTTGGAAGTACTCGGGATCCAGATAACCTAAGGTTCCTTTGACTAGAGTAGTTACTTGATTTTGATCAACAGGCACCAATCTTGAAACTCCAAAATCTGATATTTTTGCAGTATAGTAATCATCTAACAGTATATTGGAAGATTTTACATCTCTATGAATAACTGGCATTGCTGCTGCAGAATGAAGATAAGCTAATGCACCAGCAGACTCTGCAGCAATTCTCAAACGATTTTCCCAAGAAAACCAAGGCATTCCCTCGCTGTTGTGGATATGGTAAAAGAGTGTACCATTAGAGACCTATTCATAAACCAACAAAGGAACTTCTGTCTGCAGACAACATCCCAGTAGCTTCACCACGTTCCGGTGATTGACTTGAGTCAAGATAATTACTTCATTGATAAACTGTTCGATTTGGCCCTGATCCATTATTCTTGACTTTTTAATTGCAACTATACGTTTATCGCTCAGAATTCCTTTATAAACTGTACCATAACCACCACGGCCAAGGATACGATCTTCAGCGTAGTTTTCGGTTGCTTTTTCTAGTTCTTCTACAGAAAAGATTTTAGCTGATTCCAT